GTGTGTGTGTGTGTGTGTGTGTGTGTGTGTGTGTGTGTGTGTGTGTGTGTGCGTCTGCGTGTACGTGTGTGTGCGTGTGCGTGTGTGTGTGCATGTGCGTGTGCGTGAGCGTGTGTGTGTACGTGTGTGTGTGTGTGTGCGTATGCGTCTGCATATACATATATATATATATATATAGGTGTGCTTGAGCATATATGCGTATCTTTACATCAGAGGGCGACAATGGTGATGAACTGTGATGGGGAAAACATGTATTTCTCTAATCCGAAACATTGTTGCAGCTTCATGCGCGTGACCGAGCATTATGTGATCGTTCAGCCGGTATATGTGCTAGACCTAATCAACATCACAGCGCGACGTTCGCATCAGATTATAGAAAATATAATGCGGCAATGACATGTATACCGAACCTATATAGGCCATGTATAGGCCATACATAGCCATATATAGGTCATGGATGTATAGGATGTATGTATAGGAATTATGGATGGATGTATAGGCCATGTATATGGCATACCGGCCCTATGTTCCAGTGTACTTATATAGGCAGAAAATGTGTTTGCGATCAATGTTGATAGACAAATTCTAGAAGACGAAAAAATGGACGATCTTGCATTAGTTTGAACAATATTTCTTGATGGTTATGCGTTAGTAATAATCCATCCCACAACAAATAGGTATTATAGTCTGGGAGTAAGATGTACTGTTCGCTCCTATCTAATGTCGATATTGGTATGCCTGCGGTGAATTTTTTTTCCCAGTCTACGTCTTATACAGAAGCATGAGGTCGTTATTCGTCGTGCTGTTGCTGGGTCTGGTCGTGAGACATGGTCACGGAGAAGGGGGCGACACGAGTCTGAATGATTTTTCCGATCTCGGCTATGATGACCTCATTAGCGTGAGCCAACTCTACGATAAATTCATCGAGTACAAGACGACGGATTCACAACAAATTGGGGGACTGCTGGAGACGGTGGCTAAAATACAGGCAACCGTTAACAATCTGTCCGCTTCTATCCTCAATTCGGCCACCGAGGCAGAGACGCGTCACGCAGATGAGATGGAAACCTTGGGTGCTATGGAGACAAGGCTTCATCAGCTTGACACCAAGATAGATACAAGGTTATTAGTGATTCACCTATCAATCCATCCATCCATCCATCCATCAATCCATCCATCCATCCATCCATGATCCATCCCATTCATCTCATCCATTCAGCCAGTACCCGCCACGCTAATCCATCCATCCATCCATCATTCTTCATCTCATCCGCATCCATCCATCCATCCATCCATCCAATCACCATCATGCCATACCATTCATCCATCCATCCACATCCATCCATCCATCCATTCCATCCATCCATCATCCATCCATCCATCTATCCATCCATCCTCCATCTCATCCCATCCATCCATCCATCCATCCATCCATCCATTCCATCCATCCATTCCATCCCCATAGCCATCCATCCATCAATCGCATACCATCCCATTCATCATGCCGACCATCCATATCCATCTCATCCATCCATCCATCCCATCCATCCACCATCCCATCCATCCATCCATCAGCATCCATCTCCATCAGCCTTCCACCTTCCATCCATCCATCCATGCTCATCATCCATGCCAATCCAATCGCATCCATCCATTCCCATCCATCCATGCCAATCCATCCAATCCATCCCATCCATCCATCCATCCATCTAGCATCCACCATCCATCTCATGCCATCCATCCATCCATCGCATCCTCCATAGCCATCCCATCCATCTATCCATCCATCCATCCCATCCATCCATCCATCCATCCATCCATCCATCCATCCATCCATCCATCCATCCATCCATCCATCCATCACTCACTCACTCCAGGTCGCCCGCGCTCTCTAAATAGTACGTGGAAACAATCTTAAAAAAAACTTTCAAAACTCATTTAATTAAATTACGCTAACTCACTAATAATTTTAATACTTATTTCTAAGCATAATTCCACATTATAGTGTACAATTGCCCGTTTACAATCCGTAGGTTTCAAGAGATAGAAACTCAGGTAATGCAGACAAACACAGCCACCGACGCTCTCGGAGTTAAGGTGGATGCGCTTGATGGAAGCCTAAACGAGAAGCTTCTTCGAGAGAGAAATGCTTTATTGAAGATCATCGAGCAGAAGAACGGACAGATGAAAACTGCAATCGCCTCCAACATCGCAAAGTCGAAACAAGAGCTGCAAGATGGCAGCACTAGCACTCGGCTGCTGCTAACTTCCCTCTTAAACGACACCGCTACCGCGAAGGCAGCCATCGATGACGTCACCGCGACGGTAAAGGACGAGTTAACGAGCAGCAGACGAGATTTCAGCGCCGATCTGCGCGCCCTCTCGAAGCGCGTGCAGCTCGCCGCGCAGCGCGCCAACGACAGTTTCGGCGGTTTGGCACGACAGCATACGGTGGAGACGGCGAGCCTGCTAGTTGGCGTGCAGGCCGACGCTGCCGCCCACGCGACCGCGCTCACGGAGTCGATGGACGAGCAAGCGCAGCACGTGGCGCGCACGCTCGCTCGCTCGCTTCACCAGGCGGCGCAGCAGTCGGCTG